GGGGTATTCTGATTTTGCTTTATCCTTCCTGTTTGTGATTTAAACGTTTCGAGAAATCTTGTGGCCACATCCCTGCAGCTCGGCTACGAATCCAAACGACAGCCAGATCAAAACTCTGAGCCCAAGCACCTCGAGTGCAAGCGGGACCTGTCGGTGTCGGCCTGTCTTTATCAGACGTGGTTTGCCTGAAAAGTCGACTCGCTGTAAAAGGGCAGATTCTGGAAAAACCCAGAGGGGGTGAGAGAGAGAGAGAGAGAGAGAGAGAGAGAGGGGGAGAAATGTGAGCCGGGCCAATGGGAGACGGAGACGAGTGCAGACGGAGGGAGAGGGAGTGTTTGGGGGGAAAGCTGTTTCTCCCAAGTTTGGTGTGATGGACTGGAAGCTATGCTATCCCTGCTGCTTTGAAATACTTGTTTGTGTTGGCTGCAAGTCCCAGACTGAGGACTTATCTGCAGAACGTCCTGGAAAAGGGGACGAGGGTTTGCATATGTGTGTGTGTGTGTGTGTGTGTGTGTGTGTGTGTGTGTGTGTGCATGTGTGTGTGTGTGAGGGGGGGGGGGGCAGCCTTAAACCCCACACCAGAATTCTAAGTATTAGGCCAGTGTGATTGTGCCAATAAGGAAATACATGGAAAGAGGAGAGAAGCCAGCGTGTTTCTCCAAGTAGGAATGTCCACAAGCTATTTTCACTTTTCCCCCCTCGGTTTCTTCGTCTCTCTCTCTCTCTCTCTCTCTCCCTCATCACTCACTTTTTATTTTACAGTGAGACTCTAGTGACACAACAGTTACGATGTGTCCCGTAAAACCAGTTACTGCAGGAACTAAAAACCTGAAACTGGGCTCGATAGAAATATTGCATTGAACTGAAGGAGAGACTTCTAAGAGTTGCATGCTGGAGATGCAGTGGCACCCACACTGAGGGACAGGACCACCTGGGGGGGGGGTCACGAGACGCAGAGGGAGGGTCCCAATTCAAACCAGCCGTTAACCTTTATTGCAAGAAAAGCTCCGTGACTTTCTTTGTCTCGATGTGGCAGCGTCAGTTTAAAGGAAACAGTGAACATGTGTCATGTATGTGACTTTGTTAATGAATCCATCTTAACTCTTATATTACTTATCTGCAATTATAGATTAATGAGAAGATACTTTTTTATTCTGTTGTGTGTTTGATTTCCAAATAACCTCCAAGGAAATTTCCTGGAATTAACTACTTCAATTAGAGCAAATATATTGATTTTCAAAAGGTTCACTTCTAATTCATGAATATTTGTTCGGGTCTTAACTAAAATATTTCTATTTCTAGTGATAACTTATCATTTACTGAGTTTCTTACTCAATTAGAAATAGAAAATAAACAACAGAACATATATCGCTCTTCAGGTTTGGGCTGAATTCAACCATAACAAAACTTCTGTTTGACCTCTGACCTCTGTGTCGCTCATCAGCTCGCCGGGAAGTACGACCCCCAGAAGGAGGAAGAGCTCCGGCTGTGGATCCAGGACGTGACCGGCAAGAGGATGGGAGACAACTTCATGGAGAGTCTGAAGGACGGCGGGCTGCTGTGCGAGTGAGTGGACGGACGCCGGGAGGACGACGCAGAAACGTTTCACGATGCTTTAATGATATCTGTGATCACTGACTGATCTCTGTCTCTTTATAGACTCATAAACGTTCTGCAGCCAGGTTCTGTGAGAAAGATCAACAACTCCAGTCAAAACTGGCACCAGGTACGTGGAAAGAAGAGAACGAGCATTATTTGTCCTGCTGACGTTCTCCAGAGCGCGTGGAACCGTTGGCCCCGACAACACAGAGCGTATTTACATTCCATAGAGTCGGCAGCGACGTTTAGTAGGTCTTTACCGAGTTAAAAAAACAAACGTTTCCTTTAAGGGTCGACTGATGCTCTTTAAAAATAATTCTCACTGGGATTTTAACGCTGCTGCTCAGACAGTCAGACCTTATAAGGACAAAAGCTGTGAGACACTTCCCAGCAGCCAGTTAGCTTAGCTTAGCATAAAGAATAAAAATGTGAGGAAACGACTCTGAAGCACATTTACTCATTATTCATTATTATCCACAGACTGTAAATAAAGATGGACGATGGTTATGATCCACATAAAGTGAAGCCAAAGCATCTCTATAGGTCTGCCTCCTCCATGTTAGCAGATGGGACATGGCCCAGATTGGTTTTAATCAGTCAGAGTGAAACACTGAGCTGACAGCTGATCGGCTCCTGATTCTGTGGAAGAAGAGGTCTTTATGAATTCACAGGTCGGTGCTGCATGGACGTCGCCCTTCTCACATATTCCTGTTTTTTTGCCCCTCAGCTGGAAAACATCGGGAATTTTGTGCGTGCGATCACAGAGTACGGCCTGAGGCCACATGACATCTTCGAGGCCAACGATCTGTTCGAGAATGTCAACCACACTCAGGTCCAGAGCACACTCATCGCTCTGGCTGGCATGGTGAGGGCAACACACACACACACACACACACACACTGAAATATCTCTTTAACTTTAGCGTGTTAGCCTGAGCCATGACTCCACATATTGGTCTGTGTTGCAACAATTAATTAACCTGTGTGGGAGCGTGGTGTTGCATCTTGTAACAGTGGTTACATAATAAAAACAATACAAGTATGGAAAATAAACTCCATTACCACCATTTTTCCTTTCTGTCTCCGCCGCCTCTCTCCCTCAGGCCAAGTCTAAAGGTTTCCAGTCCAAGTACGACTTAGGAGTGAAGTATGCCGAGAAGCAGCAGCGCCGCTTCGCTCCAGAGAAGCTGAGGGAGGGACGCAACATCATCGGCCTGCAGGTCCGAGTTGAACTGACTGCGTCCCCACGCCGACGGTGTCCTCAGCTGTTTAACTCATGACGTTTTGTTTCGTGTCTAGATGGGCACCAACAAGCTCGCCAGCCAAAAGGGCATGACCTCTTACGGCACGCGACGCCACCTGTATGACTCCAAGATGGGTATGGACAACCCGCTGGACCAATCTACCATCAGCCTACAGATGGGCACCAACAAGGGAGCCAGCCAGGTGAGGGCGGAGCCTCGGGAGTTTCTAATTTCCAAATTAAATCAAAGTAAAGCTCGAGCTGCACCACAGTTCAAACATCAGGATCCATGAATTATTCTCGGTGTTAAAGAAAGTAAAAATATAAATCCTGTTTCGTGGAAATCTGTTCAGTTGTTTTATGTGTTATCTTGTCCACAAGGGAAACAATGTAGAACAGAAGAGAATATTAAACAAACAGACAGACAGGAAGTCAGAGTAAAAATAGCTCAACATCCAATTCAAAGTCAAACACAGACAAAACAAATTCCTCATCGGCTGCAAAAAGAAAAAAAAGTCTTGTTACTGTCAACAGATCGTTTGAAAACACAAAAACCAATAATGCATCAGAGGTTTTGTTTCCATGAAGTCACGTTTAGTGAAGACGCCACAAATAATCTGAACAAACAAGTCCAAATCCTCGACCTCGAAGGAAGCGTCACCAGTTCTGGATCAAGTCACATGAGTGAAACTGCTTTAAATATTGTTGCTGCAATGAATTGTGGGATGGCATTCTATCCCGTCCGGTGTCTCCTATGCTATAGGAGATAAGTTAGGAAGCTTCCGAGCTCCTTTCCTTATAATTTAGAGGATGGCTGGAACACTTCCAGGTCATTTCACTCAGTTATGAAGCAAAATTAACTATTTTCCCTGAGCTGCACATTAATCCACTGATGTTAATTATCATTATTCTTTATTCAACAAGGACAATGCACAAACACGTTCAGCTCAAAATGAGAAGAGAGGATTTAAGACGGATTTTAATTGCAACTGAAGTCAGATTAATGTTGACTCAAATCCCTTCATCCTGCTTTTCTGTCCCTCAGTCCGGAATGACGGCTCCGGGAACCAGGAGGCACATCTTCGACAAGAAGCTGGAGCTGGAGAACTGCGACACCACCACCATCTCTCTGCAGATGGGCACCAACAAAGTGGCGTCCCAGCAGGGCATGACCACCTACGGCCTCCCCCGCCAGGTCTTTGACAACAAGTACTGCGCCAACCCCACCGAGGTCTTCGACAACGGCAGCGAGGCCGAGTTCGACGGCTACAACCAGTACTCAGACGAATAAGAAATAAAGGAATGAATCACGGACAGCCACACTGAACCCGCCCCCACCCTCCATTTTGCTTAAACTCCAGACAAACGACTGCGACGAGCAGATTAGTATTTATCGCTGACTCGTGCCGTCGTCGTCTTCCCTGCCCATCACGTATTTTTACTCTTAGGAAGTAAAAGGGATGAAAAGTGTTCACACTGACCGCACGGTGAACGATTCAGTGCAGCGGCCGACTTCTGTATGTGAATTTAATAACTGCTAAATAACCAAAAATGCTCAGAAGTTGAGATTTAATGACCTTTTCTATTTATGCATTTTTTTTTTTATGTTTTGTTATTAGAGATTTNCCCCGCCCCCCACCTCCCTACGATTCCACTCGAGCACTGACGAAGCAGAATTTAAAGATTCCTCCAAAGGAAACATGTGACCGCGTTGGTGCTATTGAACTTTGACCCAGTCGGGAAACAAAATGTCGGAGCTGCGCAGGCTCCAGGATTCCACCGCTTGGGATGACGCAGACGCTTCCGGCTCCACAGACGGGCCGGGGCGGACGATGCAGGAGGACTTGTAGCTTCATCGCTTTGTGTTGTGAGCACCTGACAAATCGTCATGTTCACCAGCCTGACAAATTACCCACAGTGCCTAGTTCCAGGGGCTAATTTACTTGGCTTGTGTGACGCATGAGTCTTTGTTGTTTTTTAGAAAAAGTGGCCTGGTCCGTCGCACAATGCATTTCTGAAATAAAAGAGCAGGTGTTGTGATGCTCGGTGTGATGTTAGGCTGAACTTAGTCACCGGTAGTTTTTGTACTGCCTGTCGTCTTTTCTTGGAAACTTTCCGACTCGTCTTCCGCCTCTGTGAACTTTTTTCATTTGCACTTTACCCGGCTTCACTTTGTGCAGTAAACCAGTGGACGGAGGCAACGAAGTGCAGTGACTCAGATTCTGCACTTACTTTAACTTGAGTTTTCTATTTGGTGCCACTTTACGATTATTCTCCACTTTTCTTCAGTTGTTAAGTTAGTTTACAAAATAAGATTTTTACATTCACAACTCATTTTATTTAAAGGTAAAGAAAACAACAGCGTAGTGTAACAGGTAGTAGGTACATTTAAAAGTGCAAAAGGAGTATTTTCACTAGTACTGGTAGCAAACAGCAATATAAACAGAGCCAGGTCCTTGCTGATGATTGTGGTTGTGAGTTTTGCCAAATACAGATGAGATTCTCCTTTTTGAAATGTCATCATGCTGTAAACCCACCGAGTGTCTTGAATGTAACGTGGTCGTGAGGTCAGAAGTCGCCGTGATGTTCGTTTTCACCACATCACAGAGCAGAGACGTGTGGCGCTGGAAGCACACGAGGCTCGGATGCTGTTACACATCAAAACCTCTGTGTGTCTTCGTTAAGTTTTAGCATCAGAGGTCAAATGGACCAAAGCATCTGAGCTCCTGATGCTCGTTGTGTAAAACACCAAAGCTATGATTTTGGACATGTAGCAGAGCGCCATCTAGTGGGAGGAAAAGCACACATACATGAACATATTTACATTTCTGTATTTTTTTAATCCATCAAACGACCAAACTTCTTTTTAAATCAATCAAATGTGAGAATGTAGTCACCCCGTGATGTTCAGAATGGCAGAAACGGTTTCATCCTCATGTGTTTCAACATTTGTTCAAACTACACTAATCTGCTAAGCTAGCCTCTTGTTTTTTCTTTTATATGCCACATTTGTGCAATAAAAACACTTGAAAAATATGTTTTTCTGGTAAATCTTCTCATCATTGTCGTAACATCAAATTACACAGTACACGTGAAACACACAACGAGTGTAAAAGACAAAACAGGTTTGTGATTTTTCAAAAAGGAAAATACAAATCTAGCAGTACAAATACACAATAGTCTAAAAAAAAGGAAATGAGCAACCAACATAATGATTCAGTGCATCAGTAACGGTTGAAATGAAACACTACTTCCTCAACAGTAACACTTGTATGTAATAATATTCTGCGTACAACCTAAAGAAAAAAATGATTCTTTATTTATAACACAAATACTAAAAAAAAAAGGATGTGGAAATATCAGTTTATATAGAATGAAATGTCAGAGCATCTTCATCCTACGTAAAAAAAGAAAGCATCACTGAAATGAGAAATGAACCTGTAAACGGACGCAGACACGTTACTATCAAAACAACGCCGGCAACTCTCCGGCCCAGCCAGAGGAGCGTGTCGTACACTGACAGGGAGGGAGGGTGGGGTTTTTTTTTCTACTTGGTGCGAGCTCAACAGGAGCCGATTCACCGGACCAGAGGTGAAACGTGAGGTTAGAGAGAAGGTGAGTCACAGGAAGACATGACTACTGATTGGCTGCTTCACAGGCATCGATCCAGTCACTGTAAACGTCCACCGGCTCGGACAGGTCTGTCGAGGAGAGGTTAAGGGACATTCTGAACGTTAACTGTTCTAACTGACTATAACCAACCACCCACCTATTTATTGTAACCTCAATAAATAGCTAACTTGCTCTCAGTGACTGTTTAGCTAAGTGCGATGATAGCCAATCATTTCATCCACATGAAGGATACAGGTTATCGGAGTCTGGAACTCCTCCAAGCAAACGCTGCACGATATAATTCCTGTGTTGCGGGTTCGTTCCCTGGAAAAGAGTTTTCATGACGCATGTTTTTTTTTTAAAAAAGCTTTGTGACGTCACAGCTGAGACAAACTTACATTTTGACATCGCAGGATTTCTCGTGGTTACAGAACGGGCAGGTGAACTGGGTGTCCAGGTTCCCCGTCATTTTCTTCTTAGGAGGCGGCTTTCTCTTTGACTTCCTGCGCCCCATCTGCACGCCTGTATCTGCGCAGCAAGGAATCACAACACACACTTCTTCAACTTGTCTTCTGCTTTTACTGGATTTGTCTGTTTAAACTCGTCGTCTGCACCTTTGACAATGTTTTTCTTGCAGCTCATCTTCAGTGGAACGTTCTGCGCGTGTCCATATCAAACACATCTTCTATGTCTTTCTCCATCTCCATCTTTTTTAAATTAATCTTCATCACCTTTCACTGCGTTTGTCTG